ACAGGGCTCCTGGGTGCAGAGGTAGCCAACCCACTGGTGTGGGAGAGGCTAATGAGGGTCACACACCATTAAAAGTGGCAGGGAGTGTAACTCCAAAAACTGGCTGTTAATTGAGCATCTCAGTTTGATGAGCAACTTTGGGTTTCCCACCACCCTGTATGTTACAGAAAGATGCAATCATGGTATGCAACAGACTGCCTGTGAAGAAAGAGAAAATCTGCTTTCTGAGTAGGGCTTGAAGAGCCAGCGGGTGGGAAGAGCAGGACAAGCTTGGGTCAAAGTGCTCCTTGACGCCTTACCCCAGTCCTTTCTCTGCTTCCTTGCCCTTGCAGAATTTGGGGCAGAAACTTGAGACACATCACAGAGCCCACAAAAGCAGGGGATGTCATAGAGCTGAAGCGGAGAAGGCAAAACTCCTGGCCAAGATTCAGGGTATCTGTGGTCATTGCACTGGTGGTGGGATCCCCCATTTTGAAACATCTGTGGCAACAGTGGTTGGGGCAGGCTGTCTGTACTAGCAGCTTGAGAGTGAGAGTATCCCATGCTGCTTTCAGTGGGGCTAGAGAGGCTGAAGTGATGGGCCACTGCAGTAACCAAATTTACAATGAATTAATTGTCCAGTTCTTATAATGTTTTTTTTAAGGATTTTTTAGTATTAATTGATGTTGCATGTCTGGGCAGTTGAGCACTTTTATCTTCCAGTAGGATCAGGGCTTTCAGGAAAATCATAAGCCCCACATTGAGCCTACCAGCTCAGAGCTTTGGTGCACCATAAACCAGGGTGATGGAGTTGAAGGCTGGAATTAAAGTCTGATGTGGCTGGGAGGTAGCTGAGATAAGTTTGGTGACTGCCTATATCAGCAGACACCAGAAATCTCTTCTGCTCCCCTTTGCTTGGCCCCATCACAGTCTTTGGTGAGAGGAGAGAGTTTTGACTTTGTTCTTCACCTCTCCATCCCTTGAAAAGAAAATAATACACATGAGGAAACACCAAATAATAAAAGATAATAGTGGTTTTCCTCTTCCTTTTTTATTTTTTGTGCTTCATTACTTTTGAGCTGTGTTGTTGATGTCTGGCTGGATTACAGTAGATCCATTTACTATTGCAATCCACCCTAACAGGTTCCTAGTAAAGGGCATGGGTAATAAAGTCAGGTCCAGGAGCTCTTCCAAGAGTACACCAGAAAAGATAAAAAAATAACACATAGAAGAGCAGGTAAATCTTCCTCAGAAATCTGGTTAATGTTTCTCTTTTTGTCACATATATTGACTTTAGGAGATTTCCAAAAATTAACTGGAGAATCAAGGGGAATAATGGGAATAAAATCAGAGAACCCAAACAAGGACCATAGCTCCATAATATAAGAATTAACTGAACCCATTCCTGAAGCCAGAGAAAGGGGGAAACATTTCTGAGCATCAGTCATTTGCCAAGGGAGGTAATTATGTCTACCAGATAGAACTGGATGGTGATTCAGGATAAAGTATCTCTGGCCTTGATTTTTGGGCATCCTTGTGCAAGTCTGTTCTCCTTTTTTTCTTTGTCCTGTATTATAGCTGGGACAGGAATAATAAAAAAGCTTCAAATTAAAAACTGTATGATGATCAAAAAGTAACATGTTTGGGTTTTTTTTTCCCAAAGACTTGACATGGGCTATGGATTAAAAAAAATATATAAATCAGAAACATGTTATTATCACCCTAGGTTATTATAAATCCTGTATGTAATGTAGAAGTAGACAGAGGAGTTAAAGTTATTCCACGTGTAACCTCTCCAGCAACAATCATCCCAGATGGTTGCTTCCAGTGAGGGTTGATTTACAGGGAGATACAGGGCTGTCTTTCAAAGGGACTGAATAAAAGTCAGCACTGCTCCTGCTGACTTCAGTGAAAGCACATGGTCCTTCCCAGGAAGAGTCATGTCTTACCAGAACACATACAAGACCATAGATAATGTGCCAGCTTTTAAAGGAATCGATATTAACTATGTTTTGTTGTGTTATAAAGGCAGATTAAAGTAATATCTAAAGCAGCTGCTGTGTCAGGGTTGGACACATGGCTTACATCAGGTCTTGGTTTGGCTTTGTGCTTTTTATTGACTAAAACATAGTATTTGATTGCAACAGCGAGATCTGCTTTTAATTAGCCCAATTGGATGCTTGTATCCTGGGTCTTTGATAAATTTACTTTGATACTAGTGCAAATGCTGAACACACCTTTGCTGCGTCATCTTTGACTCAGAACTTTCTCTTGAGAAGAATATCAATTGAGCATTTCTGTGTGTCAAGCACAGTAAATCAACATCCCCATACTCTAGCGAGGTTTTCTCATTTCATCAGAGACCAGCATTTTTACTACTGCATCAGCCTTGAAAACACTTTTCACCTGTTTCCTCTCTCAACACTTCTGTAAGTCATCTTAAGCATCTCACTACACTGGAGGCTGATCCAGAATGGCTCAGAGTGATGTCAAACAATACAGTAAGACAACTTTTGGCACCCAGAAGTACATACAGTGATGTTGTGATGACTCTCACTCAAAATTAGCCGCAGCTCTACCTCCTTAAAAGCTTATTTCATTCTATTGCCACAGTCTTGATGGTTTACCACTACCTCTGAGTCAGTCACTTCAGTTGATAATGATTCTAAAGTATTGCCTACAGTTTCCCTTTAAACTGATCCACTGATTTTTGAAATATTAGCACATATACAGGTTGTTGATGTGAAAATTAATCAATTTTGTGGTAAAGTACATTACATAGTGTGTAGCCTGAATGTTAAATTGGTCCCCTGGAGTTGGATGGGAATATCTGCAATAGTTTTCTGGTCTGAGCCTACTCTGTTTGATTCAGTAGTTTTGAGTACATTATTGAGATCGCAAACAACTCAAAAAACAGGCACTGAGGTGTAAAGACAAGAGCACCAGAAACCCAAGGGCCAGTGCTTCTCTCTTGCCACCTCTTCATTGCAAAACTCTTTCCCTGCAGTTCTTTTATCTTAGAAGGTCTTCCAAGTAATTTCATTTAAATGCTTGGGCACCATCAAGCAGAATGCCCTCCACATCTCCACACATGCATTACACACATGCACACACATGCTCACCTTCAGGCATCTTGAAAGCACTCACTTATCCAAGGATGTTGAGCCCTGGCCCTTTGGAATGTATCAAGTTGGTAAGAAAGTGGCTTACTTTTTTTTTTTTTTATGGCTATTCATGAATGTATAAAGGGCTTTCCAAGAACTACTGTGAAGAAATAACCTAATGTGTCACATGGCAATAATCAGGCTAAGGGTTCGTAGAAGCAATCACAGGATCTGACCACTTTCTACAGGGTTAATATTTTTCTGATAACTCCAGTCTATACCATGGCCTTTGCTGATCATTCTTTCTCTTTCTCTGCAGTGCACTTGTCACAGAAGTCCCTGCCCAATCACTCCGTGCGGGCCCAGGGGTACATTTAAGTACTCCTTGCATGAGAATTATCTGGGATGGAGCCCCTTGGGTTTGACGCTCATTTGCTGAATTCCCTGTGCTAGCAAACATAATATGCAGAATTCTTGCCTGTGCTTTAAAGATCTGCTTACACCTTAAAAATAACTTTTTAGAAAACAATTCTCCTTTACCTTTTCCCCTAAGCCAACTCACTCATGTCCTGAGTTATATATATCTTTTTTTCCTTATGCATTCCTAATAACGGCAGTGGTATTTTACTGGGAAAACCTTCTTACTTGTCAACAATTCCTCCTCTCCTGCAGCTAATTTCCTCATTGGGATCACAATTCTCTGCAATATCTTCATTGATTTCTTCTGCAACTGTTAATAAAACTTAGTTCTTTATACGTAATTATCTGTAAATGTAAACTAGCAGGATTTTAGAAAGTGACTAGAGAGCTCTGCAAGTTCATGCTGCAAGAAAGCTTATTTTACTAGAGAATATTCCTCTGCCTACTGAAAATAAGTTTTGCCCTCTAAAGTGGTTCAGGCTGCGTGCCCATAATGAAGCTACCAAGTACATACCACTCACTGGCCTATGAGCCTGTGTGGAGCTTCATGTCCAACTCGGGACGCTGGAAACACCTGCAGCATCTCAACCAAGGCTGTGCCCCCAGTCCCCTCCATTGCTTTCACCACTGCTGCACGAACCTTTGCAAGGCTACCACCCCAACCTGCCCCCCTAGGCATACATACACCTTCTCATCCTCCCATACAAAGCCTTCAACACTCCAGTTTCATCTGGTGAACCTGCTAGCAAGGTTCCCAAACAGATGGCAAGTCTCGCGCATGAGACAAATTTCTATTTCTAGCCCCATTTTTCAGAACACAAGAGCTCTGGAAGAGGCTTGCTCACAGCCTCACAGTGAAATCATGGAGTTGCGAGAAGCAGACAGATTCTTGGACCTCCCCAATTGCCATCCTCCAGCTCTGAGGCCGGGGTGGGGTCTGCCCTCTTGACAACAACTCTGCTGCTCCTTCAACCACTGCTGGCCAGCTGCCCCAGGAGCTCAGGCTGTCAAGCTAGCCAGCAGTCATGCCTTTGAAAACTGAGTGGCCACAGCTCATGAGAGATTAATTTTCAGGCTATGTCTGACCTTCAGCCATAAATTTCAAATCCCTGCATTAGATTGCAAACATGTAGCATAAAAGGAACAAAAGGTGACCAGAGAGTACAAATGTACATTGTCCAAAGTGGAGAGCTGATGTCTCCTCCAATTTTTTGGTTGTTCTTTTGTTTTAATCTGGGTATCTGACATACTTAGAGGGTCTTATGTGAGGGGAAGTGGTCTCCTTCCCTGTCAGAAAGGGAAAGTTTGCAGACACTACAGACAGTGACTGCTTCACTCTATCTCCAGTGCCTGGAAAGTTTTGCTTGTGAAGGGCAGCCAGGCTGAAAAACAGTAGAGGAGGTCCTTGATCCAAGGTATCACTGAGACCCTCAAAGGAAAGGTGGATGTCCTTACCCTCTCTGTACAATGTAAGTGGAATGATGAAAAGGGACTTACCAACACGAGGGCTGGGAGAGACTGTCTGAGACAACTTCCAATTCTTCAGGCAGAGAGAACAGCAATGAAGATCTGGAAAGGAGGGTGTATTTAGAGTTGCAGGTGCAGGAAGCTGTTGGGAGAGCTTAGAACTGAGCAGTTAAAAATCTCCTGGGTAAGCAAGAAGCACAGGCTGTTGATGACTTTGGCCACCACAGGTGAATGGATCCACTGGTCAGACACTCTGGGCATGGCGACTCTGTGTGCAGAGAAAAACACCTGTATTATGGTGGCTTTGAACAGGTGTCTCGTGGGAGTGGATCCTTCACAAACAAGTTTTTGTAGGCTGTTTTAATAAATCAAGAAAGAAAGCATATTCTGACCAGCAATTCCTTGTTATTATTTCAGCTAACTGCGAACTCTGCTACTATTTTGGCTCAGCCACCTGCTCACAAAGCTTAGTTTGTTGCTAAGTGTCAAAATACCCTAAATCAGAACTGGTGTCTCAGCTAGCAAGCAAGCAGCAGTAACACTAATGAGTCTGCAACTTGATTTACATACAGGATCTCAGTGCCTGCTACTATAAGAACAGCAGTGATAGAGACTAGGAGGTCTGCATGAGCTTAAACAGAAAAATCTATCACAATTATAATCGCTTTTGTGAAAAGACCCCACACATTCGGGGGATTTGGAACATTTTAGTATCCTATATCCTCCTCCTGAATTACTGAAACTCTGTATTCATGCTGACTTAAGAAGTCAGTGTTTTTCAGACATGTCCCAGAAATAGCTTTTAGACATTTTAGGGCTTTTTGTTGTTCTGATTTTGACTAGGAATAAGTATTTTTATGCAGAACAAAGCAAAGGCAATTTTGAAGTATTTGACTCTAGAAGCATTATGGTCAGCAGGTCAGAATCTAGCTATCAGGATGTTTGGATTATGGCAGCACACCAATTTGTTATTTTTTATTTGCTCTTCTTGGTTCTGTCTTTGCTCTAGTCGACAAGGATTGGTTGCAAATCTCATTAACATTGCTGGAAAGTGTTCATGTGTGCAAGTGATGAGGCTCCAAACACCCGAATATTCATCAGCAATGACTCAGAGACCAGAAGACATTAACTCATAACAACACAAGTGCGGGGCTGATGGTCCCAGACACAATTTGAGGTCTGGGATGGCTGGGGGAGTTCATTACACAGACTAGCTACAGTGGGCCAGCACCGTTGAGAGTTGAGCAGTGGGACCAGCAGGGAGCATGGAACATCCACGGACTCACCTGTGGTCTTGATGACACTTAAATGCACAGTAAATGCTGGCATTCAATTTTGACCTTCGCTCTTGGAAAGCATAGAGGGAAAACTGTGGGTGGGAAAAAAAAAAAAAAGTGGATAATAATCTCTTTCGCTTTCTTTTCCTTGCTAAACCAACAGGCTTTACCCAGCAGGCTGCCAAACTGTACAGGCCTGCTTTTCCTCCTCTTCCTCCACCCCAGCAGGAACCACCAATACCTCAAACTGTGCCATGGTGGGAGATCTGCCGGGCAAATCCTCTGCTCAGCAGCAGAGAGGTTGCAGGCATTTGCAACCAATGGGCCAAATTCAGAGAGGTCATCAGAGCTTCTGGATTAGGGCAGAAGGGTCAGAGGGTGTCAGCTTGGGAAGGAGGAATAACAGGTCAGATAAGAGTGATTTGCAGCACCCAGAGACAGCTTGCTGGCACTCTAGCAGAGGTAAAACAATATCTGATAGGGACACTTGAGGCTTCAGTTGTAAAACTGCACCTGGCTCAGCAAAGCATGAGAGCACTTGATGATGTCTACATATGAAGTAACCACATGCATAGAAACATGGTGAAGCATGTTCATCCTGACAGGGGTATGTTGAAAAAAAAAAGGGGAGGGGAGGGGAAGGGAGGGGAGGGGAGGGGAGGGGAGGGGAGGGGAGGGGAGGGGAGGGGAGGGGAGGGGAGGGGAGGGGAGGGGAGGGGAGGGGAGGGGAGGGGAGGGGAGGGAGGGGAGGGGAGGGGAGGGGAGGGGAGGGGAGGGGGAGGGGAGGGGAGGGGGGGGGAGGGGAGAGGGGAGGGAGGGGAGGGGAGGGGAGGGGAGGGGAGGGGAGGGGAGGGGAGGGGAGAGGAGAGGAGAGGAGAGGAGAGGAGAGGAGAGGAGAGGAGAGGAGAGGAGAGGAGGAGAGGAGAGGAGAGGGAGAGGAGAGGAGAGGAGAGGAGAGGAGGAGAGGAGAGGAGAGGAGAGGAGAGGAGAGGAGAGGAGGAGAGGAGAGGAGAGGAGAGGAGAGGAGAGGAGAGGAGAGGAGAGGAGGAGAGGAGAGGAGAGGAGAGGAGAGGAGAGGAGAGGAGAGGAGAGGAGAGGAGAGGAGAGGAGAGGAGGGAGAGGAGAGGAGAGGAGAGGAGAGGAGAGGAGAGGAGAGGAGAGGAGAGGAGAGGAGAGGAGAGGAGAGGAGAGGAGAGGAGAGGAGAGGAGAGGAGAGGAGGAGGAGAGGAGAGGAGAGGAGGAGAGGAGAGGAGAGGAGAGGAGAGGAGAGGAGAGGAGAGGAGAGGAGAGGAGAGGAGAGGAGAGGAGAGGAGAGGAGGAGAGGAGAGGAGAGGAGAGGAGAGGAGAGGAGGAGAGGAGAGGAGAGGAGAGGAGAGGAGAGGAGAGGAGAGGAGAGGAGAGGAGAGGAGAGGAGAGGAGGAGAGGAGAGGAGAGGAGAGGAGAGGAGAGGAGAGGAGAGGAGAGGAGAGGAGAGGAGAGGAGAGGAGAGGAGAGGAGAGGAGAGGAGAGGAGAGGAGAGGAGAGGAGAGGAGAGGAGGAGAGGAGAGGAGAGGAGAGGAGAGGAGAGGAGAGGAGAGGAGAGGAGGAGGAGAGGAGAGAGAGGAGAGGAGAGGAGAGGAGAGGAGAGGAGAGGAGAGGAGAGGAGAGGAGAGGAGAGGAGAGGAGAGGAGAGGAGAGGAGAGGAGAGGAGAGGAGAGGAGAGGAGAGGAGAGGAGAGGAGAGGAGAGGAGAGGAGAGGAGAGGAGAGGAGAGGAGAGGAGAGGAGAGGAGAGGAGAGGAGAGGAGAGGAGAGGAGAGGAGAGGAGAGGAGAGGAGAGGAGAGGAGAGGAAGAAGAAAGCCATTGTCTAAATCCATTAAAGGTGGTGGAAATAAACTACACATCAGTATTGCTCTCACCCTCTGCACAGACAGAAGGAGGATCCATTGTTGGGCAAATGAAAGCCTTGGTGCTGAAAGTTTGTCTTCAAGTTTAGGCAAATAAAAACCCAAACTGAGCAAACAAAGAAAAGCAACCAGTCAATCAACCAACCAAAAGAAAAAAAAAAAAAAAAAACAAAAAAAACCCAAAAATCAAACCCAAATCATAAAGGAGGAAGGAAAAGACAGGAAGAGGAGAAGATAAATCTAATAGAGACTCCCCTGCATAAGAAGCCCAGGAGACTTAGCTCCACTAAACACTCTTGATCAACATATGTAGACATTCAAGGAGAAGTCCTTTCCCACTTCTGCTGTGGACTTCAATGATGGCACAATTTCATGTGTTCTGTTGCAAAATGAAATGTATGAAAATTCAATGAATAAAACCCATCACAAAAGAATGGGCCAAGAGTAAGGAGGGCCTATTCTCCATCTGTATATAAAACTGGACACTCTGCACTGCAAAAACACATTTATAAGAACATTTTTGGTGTGGTGCATGGGGAGATAGCTTCATATATATATCCATCACTAAATTAAAGACTACAAATAATGCCAGCTCTCTGGCCATAAAAAGGCTTACTGTAAGAGCAAGAAAGTAAATAAAATACATGTACTACCTCCTTTTTTCAGCACCACTTGGTGTACCATACAAAGGTATTTAAAACAGCTCTAGCTGGATAGAGTATGGCTTGAAACTGTCCTGAAAGGACATAATTACAACAGTCAATGCAATAATGTGGGATAAGACCTTGCATTATGCCTAGACCTGCACCTTTATTCAAAGGGATTTCTCTCTAAAGCAGAGACCTAAAATCCAGGTTGTTTTGCATTCTGAGGCTATGTTTGACAAGCATATGAAGCAGCAGCTGCTCCATCATTGCTCCATTTCAGATGTCAAAGTCTGACCCTGTCAAACCCACTCACAGCCTCACATATTCTGGTGAGGAGCTGGAGAAATGCACGGACTTATTCACCAGAGCACTATTCATTCAGAACGAAGTCATCTGTGCTACCCACATCCATTAGCCAGAATTTGAAATACCACACAGAAAAGCAACTGCCTAAAATTTTCATGAACTGAGGTATTGGTCCTTGAGACATGAATGGAAAGAGAATCGGAAGTGTGCTTGTGATGATGAGTCATAGGTTTAAAGGGATATTGCCAGGTAAATATTTTTTGAGCCTTCTTCTTTCTATTACCAGCACTTATCTCACTTATCTCACTACACCTGTGAGAATATGCAGGGCTGCATCCTTGCCTGGCAAATTCCAGCTGAACACCCAAAGCCACCATTTCCACAAAGCTTAAATGGTCACACCAGGACTGAGACCACAGCGTGACCTTTAATGTAAAGGATATTGCAGCACCAGTCAGGTGGTGTTCAGCTTTTCTGCACATGCCATGAACCAGGTGGTGGCAGAAAGGCACCCACCCACCAAAAGTATCTCCAAAGACTGGAGAACATTATGGCCCATGAAGGGTCCATTTTCAGGAGGAGCTTCTACACTGAAGCACAGGGTAGCCCTTCAAACACTCTGCTCATGACATGAGTTTGTAGCAAAGAAAGGAATGTTTCAACAATGGTCTGAAGGAGACAATTACAAGTAAAACCACCTATGTTTCCAGAAGATTCTGTATTAAGACATTCAGAAGAATTCATGCAATCATCTAATCAGATATCCGTCAGTGATGGAGGCTGAGCAAAGTAGCCAAATTGTCCCATTTCCTACTCTCTCTTGTGCTGGAGTATCTACATGAAGAGGAAAAAACCTACATTTTGGAAGTGTTGGCTGGAGAGAGAGATCTTTGGATGTCCTAGTCAGTCAACTGGTCCTCAAAGCTTGGATCTACACCTCTTGCTTCAGGTAATGAGGAGTTCAAAAGAGAATTAATTTTTTTTTCTCACAGAGAGAGGATTTCAGCTAGAGGGGCTAGCAAATCCGGCCAGGTGGAGAAGGGAAGGAAGAGTCTGCCATGAGAAAAGAGAGGGCACAGAGAAGGGAAAACTATTAGAAAGGGATGGAGTTGGAAGTGATGGAAAGAGAAAGAAGAATCGCAAGGGTAGGCAGTAGCAAAGGTGT